AAATTATTTGCTTCTATTATCATTTCACATTTCTACTCACTATAATGCTTACTATGTTAATTTGTGATATTATATTAATTTGTAAGAGGTCATTTGATGTTAAGAATAGTAACTCTTTCCTGAATATTTAATGAGAATAAATTTTTCTCAGTTTCCTCTTTGATATTTAATATTTTGGGTATTTTTGATACAAAGTTTCTGCCTTTTTGAATTTGTAGAAAGCATTTTCCTATTCCACAGTAGTTAAATATTCATCTGTGTTTTCTCCTTATGTTATATGATATTCATTTTATGTTTAAGTTTTCAGTATATTTAGGATTTACTTTAATATACATTTTTTCTTCAATTCAATTTTTTTGATTTCATGTATTGAATAAGCAATTCTTCATTTATTATTCTGTGATCTTTATTTTTTCATTAGCTAAATTCTTATTTTGATTATAATAAATTTTAGGGCTATCTATTAGACACCATTGATGGATCTGCTAATTTTGGCACAAATGAAAACATTACCTTAAAATCTACTGGAGAAATTCTCAACTCTCTTCTTTTCCAGCCTATTAGTGGTTTCTTCCTGTTTGTTTCTTTTTCTAGTTGTAATACTGAATTTTTTTTTATCAGTTTGAAGAAGAAGGTATTCATTGAGACACCAAAGAACCATTTTTAAATATATTAGATTGGCATCTTAGCAATATTTAGATTATTCAACTAATAGTGATGAGCAATTCTGCAGGGTTTTCTTTTTTCCTTCTATAATAACCAGCACCATAATTATTTATTGACTGTGCACTAAGTACAGCAGTGAAAAAACATCATTGTCTCCTGGGGCTTTCATTATTCTGGGGCAGAAAGATTATAATTTTTAAATACTTTTATGATAGGTGCTATAAGAAAAAACAAGGTAAGTAGCCAACAAGTGATTGTGGGGAAAGGGATTTTGTTTAAGTATTATGTCTGGATCCATACACATGCATGTATAAACACATACACAGACATTTATCCATACACATACACATATGCCAACACAACAAACACAATTTTTTGTGGAGAAAACACTGTATCTTGCTTTGCAATTGGTGATTGGCATTTTGAAGGTAAATATTTCTATGTGCGTTTATCTTTTATCTGGCCATTTTCTCATCTAATAATAAATTTTCATTTGTTTCTCCTGATTGTTCTGTTGTAAAGATTACAGCTATGAATAATAAACACAATTGTGCTCTATTATTGATTACACCTTTAATTATAGTTTCTAATTACTTTTGCATGGCTCATTCAGAAAGTGTTCAGAAATAATAATGGTAGTGGTCAAGTTTTTCTTTTTCCCAGTAAACTTTTTGATGATCTTATTTGTTATTTATTTTTAAGTTTTCTGTTCATTTTAGATATAAATGCTTACCTATGGTAAAGACATACATACACATTCTGTTCAGCCATATACCACAGTTGCCTTCCTAAGAAATCTTATGATTTTGTAGATTCCATTGTTAAAACAATTATTTTAATTAAAAAGCAGTAGTTACTAGTAAACATTTTTCAGGTTTAAATTAGTGTTTTCTACCCTGAAGGATTACTACTAATAATTACATAAATATAAATGCATACTTATTATACATGAGCATCACAAAGAAAATCCTGATTTTACTTACATCTGGCTTTTGTTCCAGTAAAATCTCTTTAATTTCCTATCACTTCATGAATGTATTTCTTATACATTTCCATCATCTGTATTATTTTTCCTCCTCACTGTTTCAACAAACTCTGTTGACACTAAAATTTAGCTATTGTGGGTACACTTCTATCTTCCTACCTCTCTGCCTCTCCCTGTTTAACTATTTATTCCTTCCCCCTCCCTCCCTCTTCTTCTCTTTCTTTCCTCTCCCTCCTTTCCTTCCTCTCTTCCTTCTCTCTTTTCTTCCTTTCTTCTTTCCTCCCTTCTTCCTTCTTCTCTCCCCCTCCCTCCCTCCTTGCTTCCTTTCTTCCAATATAGTGTAATTTTTCTCTGGGTGCTTGTTTAATTCCTGATCACATGATAGTAGTGCCTTACAAGTTTGGGAAAACAATAATTTGTAAGATTTGTCTGATCTTAAATCTTTCTTGGAGTTAGTATATGAAGTTTTCACATATTTTTCTATGCAATCAGCTTTTTTCCGACTTTTACTTTCACGTAAAATCTTCTAAACAAGAAGTAGTGCAGTGTGATGGTTAGGACAGAGACTCTAGAGCCAGATTTTTCTTCTAATTGCAGTTCTGTCACTTATCATCTGTTTAACCTTGAACAAATTACTTAATGTCTCACTGCCTCCGTTACCTTATGTGAAAACTTCCTTTCTTATAATATCGTTTTACCTGAGAATTAAGTAGTATAATTCAAATTCATTTAAAGGGTTAGAACACTGTATGAAACTAGGTAAGTACTCAAAAAATGTTAGATATTATTAACTATTTCTCAAAATCCTCATAATTACTGGAACTCATTTTATATGTTATAATTTGCTATGTCTTACTATCTTCAAAAACAGTAACTTCCTCATCTTGTTAGTACCTTAGAAATTTACAGTATAGAAATTAGATATTTATTAAGTTTTGCAATGTATTATTTCTGCCTTTCCTTGGCTTTTAGTAAGTTTATATTTTTGAATTAGAAAGTATCATGAATTTTTCTCACTTATAAGTGATGAGAATAATTTGAGGTGAAGGGTGGGAAAAGCTAGAGGATTGGAAAAAAAATAACAATTGGGTATTAGGCTTTGTACCTGGGTAATGAACTAATCTGTACAACAAAGCCCTGTGACATGAGTTTACTTATATAATAAACTAAACATATACCCCTGAACCTAAAATAAATGTTAAAAAAGAAAGCATTGAAACTTCATAGTTTTAATATTTTTAATGGAATAGCCCTATCTTTGTTATTTTTGAAATTACATGCAATTTTCTGACTTATTTATTGTCATAATTTTTCTAGAGATCTATTTATTGATATTAATATTGCTGTTTAAAAGTTTTTGTTTGATTGGTATACTTTTACCCAATATTCTTTTCATACACCTCTAGTTACTGTGACATGTTTTAGGAGTGGGTAGCGTATACATGGCCTTCTATTAACATCAAACACAGATGTTTCACACTTTATCCATTTACATTTATTGTGATAATTGGTACATTGTATATATTTTTATAATTCCTAATATTCATTAATGTTTCCTTTATTTTTAGAGATAAGGGTCTCGTACATTGTATTATGAAATCTTATTCAATAATATTATTTCTGTTTTAACATGACTTTTGTTCAATTTAATGTTAACTTTTAAATAACATGACTATATATATTTCTATGTAGCAAAATTAGAAATGAGATTATTTCACCATTAACTTTCAAACCATTTGATTACTATTTTGATTATATCCATTATATCTTTTAATGAACATGTGGTTTTATTTGTAAATCCAATCTAAGCATGACTGACTTTTCTCAGATAATTCAATCTGTTCACTCCACATTTATTGTAACTGCTACTTACAATAGTCTGTTTATTTTTGTTTGCATTTCTGACTTCTTAAATATATTGTATTTTAGATGTTCTCTTTATTCTTTCTATTTCAGTACTTCCAGTGTTTGCAAAAAATAGTTTTTATTTATTTTCTAATAGTTTTCTCTAAATGTATAAATAAAATTTGAACTAAAAGTTCAACTAAAAATTTATATCAACTTCCATTTCTTCTCTTAGGAGAGTAACATAATCCAAACTTAATATCCTGTAGTAAACAAAAACCTAGGCAAAATATATGAAGTAACTGTTTTTAGACATTGGTTTATAAGCAGAGTTGGACTGTGATTTCAAAGAGAAGGTAAACAAATGAGGTTAGTTCTATCATTGCCTCAACTTTCTGTCTGAAGCCAGTTTCCAAAATGGTGCACAAGTAAGGGAATCTCAAACAGTAACCAGAGGTTTCCTTGAGTTGAGGAGACAGATTAGTATTTAGGAATATGGAGGTGGCTAAAATTTGAAAGGAGAAGTATTAGAAAGAAAGTGACTATAAAAAGAAAGAAATTCCAAAAGCTGCTTGATATTCCTTTGAATCCTCTGCTGAATAATAATCTGTACATGAATGCCATAAAACTCCATGAGGCCAGACAAAAATTAGCTTGTGGGAGAAGAATATTACTAGAGAACTATAAGTAGAAATATTGTTAAAACTCACACAGGGCTGAGAATTATTCAAGTTTTCATTTGCCAGAGTGGAGATATCAGGGGATCAAATATTTTAATAGCAAAGGCTGCTGTGGCAGGTAGAACATTGGCCTCTAAAATGCCCATGTCTTGGTTTCTGGAATCTGTGAATATGTTACCTTACAAGGCAAACAGAAACTTTGTGGGTGTGATTAAGTTAAGGATTCTGAGATGAGGAGATCATCTTGGATTAGACATGTAGGCTCAATACAATCACAAGGGTTCCTTTCTTTTTCTTTAAAAAAAATAATTTTGCTCTTGTCGCCAGACTGGAGTGCAATGGCATGATCATGGCTCACTGCAACCTCCGCCTTCCATGTTCAAGCAATTTTCCTGCCTCAGCCTCCTGAGTAGTTGGGATTACAGGTACCCACCACGACACCCAGCTAATTTTTGTATTTTTAGGAGAGATGGGGTTTCAGCATTTTGGCCAGGCTGGTATTGAACTACTGAGCTCAGGTGATCTGCCCACCTTAACCTCCCAAGGTGCTGAAATTATAAGTGCGAACCACCGTGCCCAGCCCACAAACGTTCTTTAAGTGAAAAAGGAGGCATTACGGTTTGATCACAAATAAACAAGCAAACAAACAAAAAGAAACAAATTGAAAGATACAATGCTGCTGTCTTTGAAAATGGCCACAAACTAAGAAAGAAGATGGCCTATAGAATTTAGAAAAGATAGGAGAACAGGTTTTCCCCTGGAGTTTCCAAAAGGAACACAGGCATGTTCACACTTTGATTTTAATCTATTAAAACCCATTTCAGAGTTTCGACCTCTGGAAGAAAATAAGAACTGTGTCTTCGAGGCCACCAAACTTTGGTAATTTAACAGCAGCAAGAGGTAAGTAATACAGTTACTCTATATTCAACATTGCAACTCACGACAGATCATGGAAAATTTTCAAAAATGATGCTAGCTGATGTTTAAATATAACCATCTTTAAAAATTAAGTTATATAAACTACACTTAAATGGACTGTGTTGAAGCCAATGGAATGAAATACAAAAAGAGTTATTTTTTAATTACCTTAATATATTTTTTCTGTTATCAATCCCCTTGACATTCTTTATAGCAGTTGTCTCTATATGATGAAAATACTACATAATGGTATATGCTACTGCACATCTTTTTGCAACTCTACCTTCAGGGATGTCACTTTTGAAGCTTAAAATCTCTGATGACAGAAATACTTACTCTATGGAAAACTGATATCTGATTCCTGGATGATATCTTTCAAATATATATAGAAAAATATTTTCAAATAATTTAGGAGGAATAAATATATCTAACTTTATTTTTTGAGGTCACAGTTACCATTATACTTTAAAGTCACAAATATATTATAAAAAACATCAGTATCTCTCATAAACATACACCTAGAAATCTTTAAGAAATTATTAGCAAATCAAATCGTTAAATTTTAACCCAGAAATGCAATTTTGAATTATCATTCAAATATCAATGAATGTAATTTATCATATTCACAGAATAAAACAGACAAAAAAGTATTATCTCAAAGATACATAAATAGCATTGGACAAAATTCAACACTCATTATTATAAGACCTTTTAGAAACTAGATATGGAAGGTGACTTCCTTAGCCTGAATGAGTATCTGTTGAAAAACAAAACAAAACTATGCTATCATACTTCACAGGGACAGATGAAATGTTTTCTTCATAAGATTAGGAACAAGCCAAGAAGGTCCATTCTTACCATTTGTATTCAACATTCCATTGGAGGTCTTAGCTAGTGCAACAAGATAAGTAAAAAAATAAACAATATAAAATTGGAAAATAAGTATTGCTGTCTTTATTCACAGATAACTTAATGGTATACATAGAAAATCCTAAAGAAATGCTAAAAGTATCTGTTATTAGAACCAATATGTAAATTTAGTAAGATCTAGGGACATTAGACCAATATGCAAAACTCAATTTTTATTTTATACAATCACATCAAACAACTGGAAATTGAAATAAAATTATCATTTTAAGTACTGTCCAAAGGCTTGCAATACATAGAGATAAATTCAAATAAGTTCTGTTCAATGAAAACTACAAAATGCTGCAGAGAGAACTCGAGAAAGACTTAATAAAATGAAAAGATATACCATATTTGTAAATTGAAAGACAATATGTTTATAACCCATACAAATATGGTCAATTACCAACAAATCTGCTCAAGCAATTCCATAGGATACATAGTTCTTTTTTCAACAAATTGGATACCTATATTGAAGAAAAATAAATTTTGACTATTCCCTCATACTGCTACAAAACTTAAAGTGTAATCTAAAATAAAATGTAATGATGAAGGTTATAAAACTTAAGTCAGAGTAGAAAAAGATTTCTTAAAATGAAAAAATCATAAATCATTAAAAAAATTTAGACCTCACTAAACTAAAAAAGTTTTGCTTTACAAAAGAAGCCCTTAAGAAAATGAAAATATTTATAATTCATTTACTTGACAAAGAAATTCACCTGCCTCAGCCTTCCGAGTAGCTGGGATTATAGGCACACACAACCATGCCTGGCTAATTTTTTTGTTTTGTTTTGTTTTAGTAGAGCTGGGGTTTCACCATTTTGGCCAGACTGGCCTCAAACTCCTGACTCCCTGATCCACCCTCCTCAGCCTCCCTAATTACTGGGATTACAGGCATGAGCCACAGCACCCAGACAGAACTCTTTCATTCTTCCCAATTAAACTGTGCAAAAGATTGGATTAAACACTTCACAAAGATAACATGATATATGTATGGCCAATGAGCCATGTTATAACAGATGTTTATGGCCATACTATAACAGATGTTTAGATCCTAAATCCTTATCAGAATGTCTACATTTAAAAATACTGATGATACTAAGTGTTGGTGAGCATGTGGAGCAACCAGGACTCTCATATATTTCTGATTGAGAATAAAAAAGTTGAAACCACTTTAGAAGAAAGTGAGGCATGTTCTAAAACAGTTAAATATACAGGGTGCCTATAATACACCACTTTTACCCTTTGGTAAAACTGTATCCTTCTCTTCTGAAAATGACCACATATTTTCACACCTTTACATAGAAGGTTTGAATATTATTAAATGCCCTAAGACAGGAATCAACTCAAATGCCCATCAAGAGGTGAATGAACAGATTGTGGTATATCTATACAATGGAATATTATTTACAAATTAATATAAACACATTACTGTTAGACACAACAACATGGATGAATTTCAGAAATGTGCTGGTCAAAAAAAGCCAGATATGAAAGAGCACACACACTGTGTGATTCAATTTATGGGGAACTGTAGAAAAGGTATCAAATCTTCAGCAACAGAAAGTAGGTCAGTGGTTGGCTGAAGTTACATGTTTGAGTGGAGATTCAAAAGGGACAAAACAAATATTCTACATCTTTATTGTGGTGGTGGTTACACAAGTGTTTATCAATTCTCAAAAAAACATATATACACTTAAAAGGGAACACTTTATTGTATGTTAATTATACCTCAAAAAATTGACTAAAAGAAGTTAATTAGTATCTATAATTTCTTCCTCAATCACGACAGTACCATTTGCATTCCCCTTCCTGCTTTTTTAAACTTTCTTCTTTGTTCAGCTTTATGAAAATGATTTGGAAATCCTTTTCTAGATAGTAAAACTGATTTCATATTATGCCTATCTTTATTTAAAACTGACAATTAATAATTGTGACATTGTATTAGTCCATTTTAATACTGTTATAAATAACTTACTTGAGACTGGGTAATTTACAAAGGAAAAAGGTTTGATTCACTCACAGTTCTGCATGGCTGGGGAGGCTTCAGGAAACTTACAATCTTGGCAGAAGGAAAAGCAGGCACCTTCTTCATAAGGTGGTAGGAGAAGAGCAGGGGAAACCAACACTTATAAAACCATCAGTTCTTGTGAGAACTCTCTCACTATCATGAGAACAGCATGAGGCAAACCTCCCCTGTGATTATATTAGGTTCCTCCCTGACATGTGGGGATTACAATTGGAGATGAGATTTGGGTGGGGACACAGAGTCAAATCATATCAGACATTAAATATTATTTAGAGTTAATTATAACTTATATTGATTGATATCTGTTATTATCCCTTGCAGTCTGAATCTACATTTTTATTTCAGTTTTAATTAATATCAGTTAAGTAATATCAGTTCATCTTTTTAGCATGCCTATTAATTTTGTTTCATGATTGTATTGTTTTATATTTTGTTTTTCTTGTGTTCTTGAGGTTCATATCAGCATACATTTGCTTCATGTTTGTAATGAATCACTGAATCTTTCTAGGGACACAAATTTAACTAATTATTTTATTCCCTACATTACATCTGTTTCCTTAGGATATATTTTCTGTCATGGGTCAGCCTGATTACTCTTAATTCTATTGTTTGTTTTATAATTTTTAAAAAATGTTTCCCCAAATTGTAGTTGTCCTTACTGGTCTATTTTGTGGATATTTGTAACTAAGGATCTGAAGTGATAACTACTAACAATTGCAGTGGCTTCTTAAATAAACTAAATATTTACTGTCTAAGACTGGTAATTAGAAAATTTCGTTAATAGTTCCCAAGCCATGATATACATATGGGGAAGGATGCATCTGGATGCCTGCCTTGTGCCTTTAGGGGTCCCTTGCTCAGGGAGCATAGGCAAATTACCAGCGGGGATACTCTTGTTGTTCTGACAGCCAGTCTTAAGGCTTTTGCTTAAGTTAACTGCTGAATTCCTTGAGAAAGGGTCAAATGCTGTTGTTCGAAATGAAAAGCATACATATTCACTAAAACAAATATTGTGCTTCTAGAAGCATATCTTACAAAAATGCTACAGCTATGCAATGATGTATTTTCAAGAGTGTATACTGCATTATTATTTTAATAATATGTATTTAGAGACAATCTATAATTTCTTATAGAAAGATGGTTAAATAAATTATGTATATATATATATATATATATATATATATATATATACTTAAACTTAGGTATATCTAGTGAACAAGAATATCCATTATAGCTTTTTGAGTGCAGAAAACAAATTGCAAAATTGTGTACATATTGTGATTTTGTAGAAAATATTTATAAAGCAATAATTATGCATTTTGTATGTAATATATAGGTACTATATCAAAAGATATAGATATTCTTGCAGATACACATTCTCTCTATATATTTCCCTTATATATTATGTATAATAATATATATAATATATGTATAGAGAGATTATATAGTATATATATTATAAAATATATATAATAGTTTTTTTGTGGTTAAATCATTTACATAGCAGGGAGTATATGTGGGGAATCTACTACTTTAATTATACACATATCTATGTTTATTTTCCAAATTGGAATGTCTTTTAGTAATTAAGAAATGATTTTTAAAGACAAAAACAGTAGTTTTAAGCTCTACTAATTAGTTGGGGAAATAAGTAAAAATTTGCTATCAATTCCTTTTTAAAATTTGTTGCTTATAATTTTAGACATAGATTAATACCAATGATCATATTTTGCATTATAGTTTTCTTTCAAAAATGTTTCTGACTCCTGCCTTATATTTTGCATTTAGTTATAGTAGCATAAATTACTTTTTGACTCATAAACATTACAATACTGATTTCAATGTTCAGAATCATAACATTTAAGAAAACTCAAATATCCTATTTCTCTTTCTTGACTTTGTAATCTCGATTCATCACTCAATTGCCTGAAATAGGTCTCCAATAAGTCTTTAAATAATTTTTTCCCAAGAAGAAAAAATGGATGCTAAATTTATCCTCCCCAAATATCTGAGAATGAATTTTTCACATATTAATATGAACTTGAAT